CTGTGATTTGTAAGCCCTGGGAGCCCCAACCAGGCTCAGGCCCAGCTTGGTAACTCAGCTCATGGAGTAAGGCTGACAAGAAAAGACCCACACACTCCCGCCCTGCTTAGGGTATTCCCCTAACTCTGAGCCTCTGCTGAATTGCAGGGTCAAGGTTCGCCATCATCATCTTTCACCCAGCTCATCACAACCTCTCTATACTCATTCCCTGACCCCTCCTATAATCTTCCTTATTGGCTTCCAGAATGAGCTTTCTAAAAGGTAGCTTGTCACTCTCCTGCTTACACTATGCCATAGATCCCCAGGGGCACTCCTGAGAAGAACCCACCTTCTCAGCCTGACATTCAAGGTCTTCATTTCCAGCTTTCCCACTCTACCTCTTCTCCCAGACCTCATCCATTTTATCACCCCTCAGCCCAAAACCTTGTACCTCAACTTTTGCCAAGATGAACTCTGTGTGGTTCCTCCAATTCCTCTTTCTCCTTACACCTCGCTCTACATCTCTGCACCTGCTGTTCCCTCTGCCTGTTGCACCCTTGTGGGCCTGTCTAGAGGCGAAAAAGGCCTCCTTAGCTCCTCATGTCTCCCCTCAAGCTCCACGTCCTCTTTGATCCCTCTGTCCTTTCTTTCCACTCTTGTTAGAGCAATTAGCTCACTGGACCATAACTGCCCTACCCCCAAGACTGGGAATTGTTCAGTTCTGAGTCTATTTCTGAGTCATCAATCTGTCCCTAACATTGACCGGCAGAAGGTCTGACACAAAGTATCAGTGCGTAGTGAATGCATTAGCGAGGAAGGAAATGTGTGAATGCATGATGAGCCCCATCCCTGCTTCAGGTTCAGAAAGAGAGGCAAAGCACATACACAGAAAGACACAACTGTAAGCAGACTGGTCAGCCCTGCAGGAGATGGCCCAACTAAGCTGCACTGGGCATGAGGGAGCTAGTCTGGGAGAGGCTGGGGTATAAGGGAGGCTCCCTGAGGAAGAGCACAAGATTATGAAAGCTAGACATGAAATCATGAG